CCGCCGGGAAGCGCTCCCGGGCCGAGGCCGGAGCCGGGGCCGAGGCCCGCGCCTCAGCCCGAGCGGAACCGCGCTGTCGCCGCCGCCCCGAAGCGCGCGGGGGCAGAGAACGGCCTCACGGCTCCCGCCCGACATCCCATAATAACCGGGCCGCTCACCTTAGCCACAGACGGGTCGGCCGCCCCGGCTCGCCGCAGCGCCGAGAGGAAGCCGGAAGTTCCGGGGTGGGGCAGCCCCGCTGAACCATGGGACGTAGAGTCCTGACCCATTTCCGCACTGCCGTTCCCACAATGCAGTGCGGGGCACACCGTGGCCTAATGCCCTAGCTACCTCAGCGTAAGCTGAGCAGAAAGCGAACTATATTTCCCAGAATGCTTTGCGGGGCCTAGGGCTTCCCCTGGAGGCACACTGGGAGGTGTAGTTTAGAGGCCTGACACCCGGGTTGGTGGTCGCAGAGCCGGCCCTGGCGGTGTTCAGTGCGGGGAGAGGGAGGCAGGGCTGTCTCCTGCCTGCTGCCGGGGAGGTGCAGGGGGACAGTGAAGACAGGGTATAGTACAGGTTAGGGGCCTTGGCTGGCGTGTTGGAAACCTGACGAGCTGGATCCCGGTAGCTCTGGAAACGTGGCCAGAGCCTATGGACACCAGGAAGTGACAAGCAGCAGCAGCATAACAGATTAAGCAGATCCCCGTGCACCTACAGACACTTGGGCTTTGATGGACCGAACTCTAATTCAGTCAGGAGGCTGCTGTGTCTGACCCCCGCCCCAGAGACCTTTGATGAGCACTAGCACGTGGCTCTGCTTTTCACTGATATTCCATAGACGGACTGGCACAATGCTGTTACTGCGTGCCACAAACATTACCTATGTATTTGGATACTCTGGATGATATAACATTTCCAGCAAGTGACTTCCCCTGATTTATCTCTCCCTATTCTTTTCTGGGGATCTTGCCAATTATCAGAGCTTCCCCATGCTGGGATGGATAATTAGGCCTATTGTGCAGTGAATGGGGCTTCAGTCAGGAGTCCCTTAAGTTACTATAATAATAACAACAACACTTACTTCTATATCTTTCTTCATTAAAGTATCTCAAAAGTGCTTTGCAAACAAGGTCACTATCATTACTCCCTTTTATAGAAGGGGAAACTGAGGCACTGAAATGTGGAGTGACTTACTTAAGATCATCCATCAGAGCACTGGCAGAGTTAGAACCAGAAATCGGGTTTCCTGAAGCCTAATCCAGTGCATAAGCCTAGGGCACATGGTCTCCCTATTGCAGTCCAGGCTGGTAGTATGACGACAGTCCTTGTGATGCAATCCAGTGCAATGCTGAGTTGGATGACACTGTGGAAAAAGCAGTCATGCTTTGAACAGGAAAGTTAACAACAATTTGGAGCACTGTCTATTCTGTTCACTGAATATGGCACAGTCTGGTGGAACATGGAGCGCCTATACATGAGCATGGAGGCTGCTCCAACTCGCTGGAATTCCAGCACATCGGAGCAGACTCAATTAATTAAGTCTGCTGGAACATGGCAATTACTATGCTTCAGGAGCCTCCTGCATCTCATGTATCAGTGACCCTGCGCTTAAAAATAGTAGTGCAGGCACTTTAATTAGAGCAGCACTCAGAGCCACTCCAATTAAAATGCCACCACCCCCAGAGCACATGCAAAAGTGTCCCTTGTGATGGTAATTCAATGGTGCTCAATCTTTTGGTCCTGCAGACCAGAAGAATGGTGCAGGGTTGGTTTGCAGGTCTGCAGGCCAGATCAGGCCATGCACTGCCTCCACCCAGCCTTGTACACCGGGATCCAGCCCTGTACCACACCCCTACTCTGGGATTGGACCCTGGAGTCCCATGCCACACCCCACACACCAGCATCAGGCCCCACACTGCCTTGCATGCCCAATCCAGTATGCAAGGTCAGGCTCTCCAGCCCATTGGGCACCCCTTGAGGGCAAAAATTTGGTAGCAGGAATACTGCTGCCAAATTTCCAGGCTCATGGGGAGTCCTGCAAGTCAGGTCACCCAGCATCGGAGGCTAGATTTGGTTGTGGGCAGGAGGTGAGCACCCCGACCTAGTTAAACATCACGATAGTACAAATTAAGCAGATGCAAAATGTGGCAGTTAAGGTTGCATGAGGCATCGCAATCATTTCCTGACTTTTGAGTGCTCCATTACACAACATTTATGTTATGTTAACATTCTTTTCTGAATGGAAATTCCTAGGCTTATTAAAAAGAAATTAAAATGAAAAAGAAATTCTATATGATATGGAACAGCATCTACAGAAAGAGTAAAGAGCTCCTGCTTTAGTAATTTAACATACAGTGTGTGGCAAAGCATGTTATTGTTGTCTAGCAAAACTATACATCAAGAAAAAGGCTGTTTCACAGTCTTTGAGTTTATGATCCAAAAGCAGGTAAGGGAAATGTTTCCCTCTACTACTGTACATTATTTTCATAGATTTCATAGACATTCAGGGTCGGAAGGGACCATCAAATCCGATCCCCTGCCCTGGGCAGGAAAGAGTGCTGAGGTCAGATGAACCCAGCCAGGTGTTTGTCCAGTCTTCTGTTAAAGACCTCCAGGGTAGGGGAGAGCACCACCTCCCTTGG